TTTTTTTGATTTAAAAAACAGAGCAGACATTTGTTGTGATTTGATTTCAAGGCTATCTGGAGTAGAATGATCAAAATAAGCGTGAAAACACTGTAATTCTACCAATTTTTGACAGAACTTATTGTATCAATTGCAGCATGCTTCCGTTATAACAACATACTGATTTCAAACATGTCTTAATCCTACTTAGGACTTTGACTAGCACTTTTGGTTGCGTCATACTTTTTTTTTTAAGTTTAGATCAGCTATGGTAATTGACTAAATACTATTTTTCCTGGGAAAAAAAGGTTGACATTTTTCGCGTGTGTAATTCATAAAAGTTTAAAGATTAACAATGCATCAAATTTTTGCTTGAACGCTATTGTAAGTCTCTGTCTTATACCCCATTGTTTGGAAGCACGTCTGAAGTATTAGTTTTTTGAATGGTGTAATTGTTCAAAAATCTGATTCACAGCACGTTGTCGTTGTAATCAGAAGTCTGAACTTGACAGCTTTTGGTCATTGCCAAAGATTGGTCGTAGAATGCTTGACCGTATCAACTGTTGCGTGGAAACCCTGTAAACTGATGTGCTGCACGAAGCATTGTTGAGATGCAGTCACTTGCGTTTGTTATATCAGAATGCTCACTTCTAAACTAGTCTGTAGGTTTTCGTAAGCAATGAAGATTTTTTGGTTTAATTTGATGAGGTCGAATTTTGTGATATAACTAACTTTTTTTTGTTTCGGTTTTATTTTAATGAATTGGTTAACGATCGTTTCTTACATAACACTTGATAGGGCGTGTTTTCCTCAACATCAGAGTCTTTTAGGACTGGGGTAAACACGGTTTCAAAAATTAAGCTTTTTACAGCTTTTTTTAGTGGCTTTGCGGTTCTTTATTTAGAATACTGTTCAACTGTAGTTCCGTTAATAATTTTCGATAAACGTTTTTATCGGATGCAGGAATAAAAGTTAGAGACGTTTTTTATCTACAGAAAGAAATACAAGTGCGGGAAGATAAAAAAAAGTTAGGTTTCCTTATCTAAGGTGAAGGAGCAGGGTTTTTGAACGTATAGACATAAACAGCTGTTGAACATCGAAAGTTTTAATGGCTTAGGGTCCGAAATGGATTTTGAAGCTTTAGCTTGTAGGGAAAATAATTTTAAGAAATATATTGCATAGAGTTTACTTTCAAAAAAAAAAAATTTGTTTCTTTACTAAACTAGACAGCGTTTTTTTTTAAATTTCGTAATTTGCTACTGATAGGTTTGCCGAGTACTTTTAACTGCTTCTGAGATTGCTTTGGCTGGTCAAAGCTTTTCTTTGCCGTTACTGCAACTCTATTAGTTACTTTCTGTCTCTGTAGGTCAAATTTTATTTTTTTATAAAATTCACCTTATTAACATGAAGCAGGAGAGATCAGACCAAACTTTTTTTGGCTGCTTCGTTCTACTTTTCAAACCACTTTTTTGGAAGTTTTTGTTAGCATTAAGTACTCTTTGGTCTGCGGTTTTGTTTTTTAGCAGTGTTTTCAATGTTGATTAGGTTAAGGCTTTAAATTCTGTGTTTTGAAAGTTATAACAGATTTTTACTGTTTCGTACTTTTTACTGTTCTAGAAATGTTTCGACTACCTCCCGGATGCAACAACTGTATTAATTGCTTCCGTGATGGAGACTGGAAATGCGGGAAATGTGTCTATTGTGAGGCTAAAAAAGAACCTTGTTTGAAACGCGTTTGTTTACTACCAAAGTACAACAAAGTACAAATGGATAAAATTGCAGTTTTTTATGGCGGTAATTTCCTATATTATTGCTTTTCTCAGTGCAATTTTGATGAATTTTTAACTAACTGGTTTATCAGTTTCCTTTAATTTTAAATTACTTTGCAAATTCTATTGCTACCTTAATTTCTGATGGTTTGATTTCATAGCTTATTTGTATGGTTTTGCAAGGAATACGATTCGTGAAGTCCAGCATTATTTTTAAATTTTACTCAGCTTTCTTTGCTTCTCTGTTATTGTTTTTCAAATACTTCTAGATCTTGCCATGTTTTCTAGAAAAAACGGGTGATAGTAAGACGGCTAACTCAAGGACGAAGTCTCATGGATCTAAGAGCAAAGCATCTGTTAGGTATTGCTTTTGTTTTGCTTATTTATAAACTTCTTTGGGGATATGTAGAAGGCAAAATTTTTACAACATGGAAGTTCTAATTAGGAAAGAATAATTTGAATAAAGTCGTTTAATTGTAAACAGTGTAAACAGTAAAACAACTTACTTTTAAATTTTTGAGTTTTTTATGAACAAATCTAGTCAACTAATATTTTTATTCTCGATATTATTTCTACTTTTCTTCTATTAAGAACAGGCCGGATTTTCCAAATACTCCTGAATAGATTAAGTTTTTTGAAGACGAAGTTGCGACTTTTATGTAGTTGTCTGCTCTTGTTTTTCTATAATATTTCTGTCACTGTGGGAGAATCGGCTACACAAATGTGCTGCGGAAGTTTTCTCGTAATCCTTGAAAAGTCATTACTCGGTATACAGTACTTGGCATTTGTTGAGCGCTATTCTTTTTTACTTTTTGTTATGAGATTTTTATCTTGTATAAGTGTCCAGTTTTCCAATTCATTTGTTCTAGATGTAGTGTCAGGTCTTAATTACAGCGATTTTTAGCAGATAAAACTAACTCAGTCGTGCTTTTTTACACCTACCAATTAATTTTAGCCGTGTTATTTCTCATAAAAGGAAAGGGAATGAGCTTAACCGTGGCTTAAACAAAATCGAATCTGAAACAGTATTTCAGAGTAACTAAAAAACTTGAGTGTTAGGAAAGTAAAACAAAAACAGATGAGGAGTTCTTTTAGAATATTGCAAGTAAATTTCATTATATCTGAGGCGTAAAGATGTAGAGAATAGAAGAGTTTTTCACTGGAGCAGTTCTTCATATGCTATGAGCACAGCATACTTACTTAAATACAGTATGCATTTCTGAGAATCTCTTTGAACTTAGTGGATTTAGCTTTCTGCTAGACGGGGATTGAGAACTGTTGTTTTCGCGTACTTAATAATTAGTAGTTTTTTTTTTTTTTTTTTTTTTTTTTTTTTTTT